ACATGTAAATTTTCCTTTGGAATTAGGACAGAATTTTTGAAATGCTTTTCAAGCTAAAATAACTCGCTGATAGAGTCACAATTTTTTATGTCAAGGGGGACTGGAATCCAGCAGGATCCTGCAGTCTGACTAGGCAACTGATGTGAAGATGATCGCACTTGAATAGAATAAATTGTTCAAATCGTGCAATTCATTGTTACCACACCAAATTTGACTGCGTAATTTTCGTTATTGGAACGGTATCCTGATACACCAGAAATGATTGAAGTTTCTAAAATAAAGAAAATGTTCATGGGCGATGCAAGAATGTTCATATTAATGCATAAGATGAAAAACAATCCCTGCTTGCTTAAAGAAGGGCTGTGTGGCACACGCTCGCTTTGTGATTTATCATCCGTAGTATTTACGCTCAGTCGCTTGGTGCGTTCTTGAGGAAATGCTGCCTTTGCTGCAGAACCCATAGGCAAAATGCATTTTGTGCATGTCTTTCATTACACGAGCATTATGATTTTTAAAGTCATGGGGCGCCTGGGTGGCTCAGTCAGTTAAGCTTCTGACTTGGACTCAGGTCGTGATCTCACCGTTCCTGAGTTTGAGCCCCGCGTCGGGCTTTGTGCTGACAGCTCAGAGCCTGGAGCCTGCTTGGGATCCTGTGTCTCCCCCTCTCTCTGCCCCTCCCCCACTCACACTCTGTGTCTCTCTCTCTCTCTCTCTCTTTCTCAAAAATGAATGAACATTAAAAAAGGTTTTTTTTAAGTCATGTATCATTTATAAGATCTATAATCACGAGTGGCTTTAAAAAAAGAAATCAAAGGTAATATTCGGCAGCTTATTAAACGACACTTTAAATTATTTATGAGCAAAAATCATAACGTTTAAAGAAAGAGAAAGCCATGCTTCTGCTATTCTGTTCCTTGTGTTTTTGTAAAGACCTTGTGTAAAGAGCTCTAGGAAAGTGGTGCATGAAACTGAAAAGAGGACTATCCATTCACAGTTATTATTATGGGTGCTTTTTGTTATCGATGGCTTTTAACTTCAAAATACCGAAAGCTCAAGGAGACATTTTGTTCGTTTATGGCTAGAATACATAATACATAAGACATAATACACAATACATAATAATAGTAACAGCCTAGCGTTTAGTCACCTCGGATCTACACCGGGTGACTGGTTCTCATGGCTTTTCTCATTCACTTCTTCACCACAGTCCTGTGAGGTGGGCTGGGTGAGTGCCCACTTACACGTCAGGTCACTGGAGTGTCACCCGGCTGGGATGTGAAAGAACTGGGGTTCGAGGCTCAGCCTGCCAGTGCTGGAGGAGAGGCTCTCACTCCACCCATGTCCAGGGTCACAGAGGCCCACGCCCCAAGGGAGACAGGCGGAAACGACCACTTTGTTTGGCACTTGCCACGTCTGTCCAGCTATTCCGGACCCCTGAAGACGCCGATGTACTCCCAGCTTGTGGCCAACCAGAACGAGATGCCACCTGTGACATCAGATTGTGGCTTTTTTTTTTTTTTTTTT